GTTCTATTCAAAGTTTGCTGCAGCACTGGATCTGGTTGGCCTCCAGCTCCTTCTGTCCCTCAATCCAATGTGTGATATTTTTAATGGGCTTCAGTCTCAACGCTATCGTCAGGGTCACCAGCCTATTGTACCCATTATTCTGGCTTAGCCTTGCTTAAACAGAAGAGGCTTGGTTAGCATCCTTTCTATCAGGTGTTGTTCTTTGCTACCAACAATTCTTTAAGTACGCGGTGAAGTAAATAATAATGCACTTGCTGACAATAGAACCCCCAAGAAATCTCACAGTATAGGCCGATATCTTTGTGCAGTGTCATTTACAAGCTATGCTCCAAAGTCTTGGCAAATAGGCTGAGAGAAGTACTGGATGAGATCATTTCCGAGGACTTATTAAATAGGGGTGCTTTTTCTACGAATATAATCAATTCCATAATGCTATCCGCTTTGACGAAGCAAATCAGATGACGAGCGATCTACGCCTCAAAAAGGAGAAGAAGTGGTTCTCGATACTGAGCAAAAAGTCACTTTCGATGTAGAAAGTAGGAAACCAAGGAAGCAGGCATTGACAAAGAGTGAATCTTTATCCGATCCTATAATGGCTCAATCCGATCCAACAACGGTACTTCCAAAGGCTCCTCGGCTAAGAAAGATAATAGTTGTATTGGCAAGGCATGAAAGGGATTTTCTAATGCTATCCGAAGACGAATCGGAATACGGAACCGGAAGCCGTAGCCCAGAACCTTTAGCTTGAGCGAAAGGGGAGGAAACCGGCTATTCAAACTGGCGGGTGGGTGGATACCCTAGTGCTTATTGCTTTGTTGGAGCAGGGGCGGAGAGGCATTCATTAGTTTGACAACACAAGGGTGTCATGTGGAGAAAGAGAATTGAACTATTCTCCGGGTACTGATACCGCTTAAGCCCAAGCAAGTGAAGAAATCCTGCAAGATGGACTTGATTTACTTTCCTTTCCAAGACCTGTAACATATAGTTTGGGTATACCACTATCACCTATCGAAATGAAACACTAACCTGCCCACGACCCCCTATACCGGATACCTTTGCTTTGAAACCAATGACTAGTAGAGGATTTCGAGGAACAACAGCAAAGGGAAGTAGGGATTGGCTTTCCTGGGATTAGTATTCGGATTTCGCTGGTCTTGCCAATGGTTGTTATTCAAAAGAAGGGTTCGCACCGGCAAAGAAGAATATATTTTCTAGTTGTAGCTTTCGAGGAGAAAAAGGATTGAATCAAAGGGACAAGCAAAGACAAAGCAATGGCATGTTTGGAATTCCATAGAGGAATCCCCAAGCAAAGGCCCGGACGCTAACGCTATTGATATTCCTAGCGCTTGTTTTCGTAGGATGCCGAGGACTCTTACTTGAATACAACTAGAGAATTATCAAAAGAATACGACTAGCTCTTTACCGCGGGATGCGTTGAGAGGAATCAATTGTTTAACCTGGTGAGCCCTCCGTTCAAAATCCAAGGGGTATGATTTGCCCGAGGAGTCGTGGATACACCTGGTCTTCGTAACCGTTGGCGGGCGCACGAGCCACATACGGAGTAGGGATTCGTGTCCACCAACACCGGGCCCAGGCGATGTGCCGCGTCCCCGCCTTCCTTGCCCGCCAATATAAAGTGCGTGGACTCAACACCCGAGTAGAGGGAAACCCCAACTCCGAACCACAGCGCAGCGCAGGGTTCTCCTCCCGTTCCGCGTCGCCGCCGTCGACGAAGCCGCCGATCGACCGTGATCGCAAGCCTTGGCCATGTCTCAGTTCAACTACTGCCCATCTGCCGACGACATCCACGAGGCCGGTAACAAGGCTCCCATGAACGATTCCCTCGAAGATAGCATCCACGAGGACGCCGGCAACAACGCTCCCATGAACGATTCCCTCGACGGTAGCCCCTGATTGCTTGCTTGCTTGCTCCCGCGTTCGTTCCCCTCCTTCTTTCTGAGCCCTGATTACGTTTCTAATGCTGACTGTGCGCGCGCGTGTGCAGACACGAAGGCTCTCATGAAGGCGGCCGTCGCCGGAGACCTCGATTCCCTCAAAGGTATCAGACTGCTCCCTCAACTTCATGAAATTGCTGTATAGTAATTTCACATATGCTCGCTTCTTTTCTTTTGGTCTTCTGTCTTTGCTAATTGGTCTATTATTTGTGATGGTTTTTTACTTTGGGAAAGATATTGTACAGAGCCTTACCAAAGGAAGTGGTGACCCATCGGCGATTTTTTCTTTCAACATCGACGGAGTTTCTGTGTTGCACGCCGCGGCAATGTTTGCCCAACTGGAGGTTAGCAAGTATTTGGTGGAGGAGCTGAAGGGAGATGTGAATGCTCCGGGATATGGAGCTGGTGCTGATGGTCTTTATCTATCGCTTTCTTCATGCTTAAAACCGGTGGCTTCCATGTCAATGTTTGCCAGCATATAATATCTTGGATTGTGTTGACCATGTGCTTGTTATGTTATCACAGGTATGACTCCATTTATAGTGTCTGCTCGGTCTGGTGATGTTGCTACTGTTAAGTATTTTCTTGATCGTGGTGGCGATTTAATGAAAGCAGATGACAAAGGACGCACCGTTCTTCACCATGCTGCCGCTAAAGGTTCTTCTCCCTAACACGCACATGCACACACACACGCGTGCGTGCGCAGACACACACATGATTTCTTGAAGTTGGTCGTTTTACTAGCTATGCTTTGCTAGTACACTCCCTTCGTTTAGATGTTTTGTTAGGACATGACTTATGGGATCATTTTTGTTTATCACAGGACACTGCATGGTAACAAAGTTTCTCCTCTCAGAAGGAGTTCCAGTCGACATCAACTATGGTCGTGGAACACCACTCTTTGTGGCTGCTGAAAGTGGGG